GTAAACAAAGAAATCATGGGTTCTAGAATTGTCACTGAGTAGCATGGAAAGCAGTAACCCCTTTAAACCGCTGAGCAGGTATAAAAAAATAGTGGGTAACAAAAGTAAAGTTGGTTTCCTGATTATACTCCATAAATTCTGATTGTTTCATATATCCATTATATTAAAAGAGTTAAACTCGCTTTCTTTTAGTTACATTGGCCTACTATAAATTTTTCTAATATTTTTTAACTCTAATTTGAAAATTTTTATATTTACCTGGAAAATTGAGTTCATTTACACTTACTGTTTTATCATTTTTTTTACTTTCTCTATGATTTTATTTTTTCTTCTTTCCTACATTCTTTTGAATGTATTTAATTTCTGTAATTTTTATTTCTTTTATTCATTCCACTTTTTCCTTGCATTAGTTTTAAAGTTAATTTAATCACTCCACTTTATTTTAAAGATTTTATTTATTTATTTGCTATCTCTCAGAGAGAGCATACACAAGCAGGGGGAGCAGCAGGGAGAGGGAGAAAGAGAGAGGGAGAAGCAGACTCCCCGCCAAGCAGGGAGCCCGATGCGGGACTCGATCCCAGAACCCTGGGGTCACGACCTGAGCCGAAGGCAGACACCCAACCGACTGAGCCACCCATGCACCCATTCTCTACTTTATTTTAATGATAACTTTAGAAATTTTAACATCAAAACTAGGATTTAAGGGAAAAGCATATAAGATTAAAATACTTTAACTAAAATCACTATCTTTTGACTTCTATTATCCAGAAATTTAGGGTTTTTTTTTTTAATTTCTAGTAGTTTCATCTCTTTATAACTCACAGTTTGGACATTCATATATTTACTCACATGTTTACCATTTTCTTCTCTCATTTCAGACCTTCTGTCATTATTTTTCTTATGATTGAAACATATCCTTTATTTTTAATTTTTTTTCACATTCAAACTTTTGTATTTTTTTATAACAGAAGCTATTTTTCTTTTTCTTTTTTTCTTTTTTACGTTTTTACTTAAATGCCAGTTAGTTAACATAAAGTGTTCTATTTGTTTCAGGTGTACAATATAGTGATTCAACACTTCCATACAACACCAGTGCTCATCACAAGTGCATTCCTTAATCCCCATCGCCTATTTTACCCATTTCCTACCCACCTCTCTTCTGGTAACCAACAATTCTCTATAGTTAAGAGTCTGTTTTCCAACGTTCTCTCTGCCAAATAAATAAATAAAAATCTTTTTTTAAAAAAAGTTAAAAATAGAACTATCCTCTGATATAGCAACTGCACCACTAGATATTTGCCCAAAGAATACAAAAATACTAATTCAAAGAGATACATGCACCCCAATGTTCATAGCAGTATTACCTACAATAGCTAAATTATGGAAACAGCCCAAGCATCCACCAACAAAGAAGATGTGGTATATATAAACAATGGAATATTACTCAGCCGTAAAAAGGAATAAAATCTTGCTGTTTGCAATGACATGGATAGAGCTAGAGAATATTATGCTAAGCAAAATAAGTCATTTGGAGAAAGACAAATACCATATAACACATATCTTTTAAAGGATCTTTATTTAGGGATTAATAGTAAATTTTCTCTTTTTATATACCTTACAATTCCATAATGCCAATTATTTTCTCTCCAATCTTTGAAGATTTTATTCCACTGCCTTATGGCTTCCCTTACTGCAATCGAGAAGTCACTTGTCAGACCAGTTATAATTTCTTTGTAAATAATCATTCTTTTTCTTTCTGGCTGCTTTAAAGATTTTTCCTTTGTTTTGAAAAATTAGAACTCTGATTAGATATAGTTAGACCTTCACATTTTTCAACATATCTTAGTTTCTCTTCACTATTTCCTATTACCTACTCACTTTTTGTTTTACTGTCTTTAATTTCTTCAGATCCTTCAGCCCCCTAAGCTATTTTACTCATCCATTTTATCTCTAATATCAAATATCCAATTTTCCATTTAAAGAACTTTTTCTGGCCTTTTATTTTTTTAATGTGACTGATAATTTTTATAGATTCTCGGTTATGTAAATTCAAAAATATTTGTTCCATTTATATTTAAATAATATTTAGACTGATGTATAAGTCTAAGATCACAATCTTCCAATATTATATATGTTACTAGGAAGTCTGTGGCCAGCTTGATATTTTGTCCTTAGATAACTTAATCTCTTTGCCTATATGCACAAAATATTTTATCTTTATTGTTGGCATACAAAATATAAAAGACTTTTTTGGGGGGTGCCTGGGTGGCTCAGTCGTTAAGCGTCTGCCTTCAGCTCAGGTCATGATCCCAGGGTCCTGGGATCGAGCCCCACATCGGGCTCCCTCCCCTTGCTTGTGTTCCCTCTCTCGCTGCGTCTCTCTCTGTCAAATAAATAAATAAAATCTTTAAAAAAAAAAAAAAAAAGACTTTTTTTCTTCATTAAAAAAATTGTAAGATAATTGAATAATACAAGCAAAATAATAGCAACATATTGTGGGAATTATGACCAATAGTAAAATATATGACAAAAATAGCACAAAGGAGGGGGAATTAAAGCATATTATTGTAAGGTTTTTACACTATTTATGCAGTGGTCTAATATTACTTGAAGGTGAACTATGATAAATTAAATATATTTTAAATATTTTAAACTCTAGAGCTGCTACAAAAAGTATAGTCAATTAGGCATTAATAGAGATAAAATAGAATATTAAAACACACAACCTAAATAAAAGCTGAAATTTAGGAAAAAGAACATAGATGCCACAAATTTATTTATTGGAAATAAATAGCTGATAATAGACTTAAATCCAAATATACTGAAAATTACATTAAATATAAAGAATCTACACATGCCAATTAAAATGTAGAGATTGTCAGAGTGACTAAAATCCTGACATGGATTTTTCTGTGACAATTTTTTTAGGACATATTATTTTTTAATTTTTGATTCAAATATTTTAGTTTTTTTTTCAAATATTTTAGTTCTAAAAACATTTCTTGAGCTATATTTTCCATCTTTTTGGTTCTATTCTTCACTCAAAACAATTATGGGTACTTGGAATTCTCCTTTTGTCTCTCTTCCATACAAACTTCTCTCCAATCCTTTGTTATTTTCTTATAGCTACTGTAATAAATTACCACAAACTTAATGGCTTAACACAATAAACACTTATTTGCTTATAGTTCTAGAGGTCAGAAGTGTAAAGTGGGTTTCACTGAGCCAAAACCAAGGTGTGGACAGTGCTGTGCTCCCTCTGGAAGCTCTAGAGGACAATCTGTTTTCCTGCCTTTTCCAGCTTCTAGACCTACATTCCTTGCATCCCTTGGACTATGGCCCCTTCTTCCATCTTCAAAGTCAGCAACATAACATCTTTAAATCCTTCTCTGCTTTGTCATTACATCACTTTCTCCTTTTCTGTCACCATAGTCAAATCTCTCTCTGCCTTCTTCCCATAAAGACAACTGTGATTACATTTAGGGACTACCAGGACCATCTCTCCATCTTCAGATACTTAGTCACATCTACAAAGTCACCATTGCCATATATATAACATTCACAGGTTCCAGGGATTAGGATCTGTGTATCTTTGGGGCCATTCTTCAATTTACCACAAATCCTTTTGAATTACCTGTTCATTTGCAATTCATTATGCCTGCTTCTCCCACTCTTACTGTGTTTTCAGTAGTTTCTATTATCTTTTGTTATTAGTCACATGATCTTCACTTCAGGGATAATTTTATTTTTTTAATTTAATTTCTTCTTAATCTGAGCTCATGGGTTTTTTTAAATTGTAAGAAATATTTAAAATCTTCAAAAAACAATATGATGATTTTAAAATATATTTGAAAATTCTTTTATCCCTATCCCATCAAAAACTGTAGCTTAATTTTCCTTCTTTTAAATATGGGTTAGTCTTGTTGACTCACTTGTAACAAACAGAATATAACAGAAGCATCATTATGTGGCTTTCGAGGCTGGGTCATATAAGGCATTGTTGATTTTGCCTTGTGGTCTTAAAATCACTCACGAGTGGGAAAGCTAACCACCATGTTGTAATAAGGACACTAACCCAGACTTTGAAGAGGTTCATATGGGGAGACACTGAAGCCTCTCACCAACAACCAGTAGCAATTTTCTAGCCATTTGAGTGGGTTACCTTGAAAGCAGATTTTTCAGCCTCTTTATGTCTTCAGAAGACTACAGCCCTAGCTGATATTCTGACTGCAACATTATTAGAGACTTCGAGCTAGCTAAGATGTTCATGAATTCCTGACTCATAGAAACTCTGTACAGACTTCTTCCGTCCTTATTTATATCTCCATTCCTTTGTCTTTGGTAACTTGTTTTGACCTTATCATATTGGTTTTTTTTTTTTTTTTAAGATTTATTTATTTATTTGAGAGAGAGAGAGTAGAATGGGGAGGGAGAGAGGGAGAGGGAGAAGGAGTGAAACCCAAACAACCCTGTGCTGAGCACAGAGCCCGATGCGGAGCTCAATCTCATGACCCTGAGATCATGACCTGAGCCAAAACCAAGAATCAGATGCTTAACCAACTGTGCCACCAAAGCATGCCTATGTTTTTTATAAGATTCCTAAAATGAATTTTACACAGACACAAAGTAAAAGTAAACAAAATATATATAGGCATAACTCAGAGATATTACAGGTTCAGTTCCAGACCACTACAATAAAACAAATATCATAATAAAGCAAATCAAATGAATTTTTTGGTTTCCCAATGTATATAAAATTTATGTTTACATTATCCTGTAGTCTACCAAGTATGCAATAGCATTATGTCTAAAAAAACAAACCCTAATCCCCAATGTGATAGTATTAGGAGGTAGGGCCTTCAAAAGGTAATTAGACTCCACCCTCATGAATTGGATTAGTGCCTTTATAACAGAGACCCTAGAGAGCTCCCTTGCTCCTTTTGCCATATAAGGACACAGCAGAAAAATGGTTGTCTATAAACCAGGAAGCAGGCTCTTACCAGAAATCTCTCAATGCCTTGATCTCAGATTTACCAGCCTCCAGAACTGTGAGACACACGTTTGTTATTTCAGCCATCCAGTTTATAGTATTGATATAGCAGCCCAAACAGACCAAGACATTCCTGTTCTGCAAAAGACCATTAAGCCATGAAACATTTTGAGTTATTTTTATGCTTAATGCAGATCAATATACCACTATGAGTTCTTCATCTATAAAGTCCAGATATAATCTGGTAGCTAATATGTTAACAAAGCTATGTTGAGTTGATACAGTATTTTATTACTATGTTGGAGACTTAGGAAAAATAATAGTCAGATGTTAACATTATTATTGTGTTATGACCTCCCTTTTATGGTTTGGGTAATGAGTTACTTAATTCCCATAATATTAAACAATTTAAATAAAACTTTTGGAGATGGTCAAATTAAATGGTTTGATGGCATAATGTTTAGAGTTAAGCAATTGAATAAAACTGTAGGGAGTATCTGTAATCAAGCTAGATTTAAGTAACATCTGATTCACTTTTATGGAATAATAGCCTTGATGATAAGCTAATTTGAGAAAAGTAGGTCCAGCTGTATATCCATTAGAAATAAGGAAAATGCTCTCCCTAAAACATAAAGTAACACACAAGAGGCAATCTAGTAAAATATCCATTAGCTTAAGGGTATGTATATAATTCTAATGGCAGTCTTAGCTCCACCACTGACTAAGCAAGTTCATTTCAGCTCCTTCATGTTGCAGTGCCTCAGAAAATAGAGACGAACGATAGTTCCACATTTATCTTGCATATTTCATGAATACATTGTGATTATAAGTGTACTGATACGGAGAAGGGGAACATATGTATGAACATTTTAGGCAATGCATTATTTCAATTTATTAGGACTAGAACTTTGGAACTTTCAAACTATGCGTATTGTGAAAGGACAATATGTTACCATTAAAGATAATGTTATTTCTAAGAGTTTTAATTTATTTGCACTTATTGACTGTAATAAGTACCTATAAAATTCTTTTAACACCTTAGCAATTTTATAAGATGCTTTTATTTTTTTAAAGATTTATTTATTTATTTGAAAGAGAGAGAGAGCCTATGGATGAGGTGCAAGGGGCAGGGGCAGAGGGAGAGGGAAAGTCTTAAGCAGACTCCACATTGAGCGAGAAGCCCAATGCTGGGTTCAATCTCATGACCCTGAGATCATGACCTGAGCCAAAACCAAGTTGGACATTTAATGGACTGTGCCACCCAGGCCCTGCTATAAGATGCTTTTAGAATGCAGCTTTTTAAGTGTTTACGAACTGTGGTGATGTGTGTAGTATTCCTCACTCTATTCTATGAAAGATCACAATATGGCATATCACAAAGAAGATGGGTTTTATGTGCCACACAAACTTGAGACTGAATCTTGACAAACAGCTTAAGGTACTTAGTAATGTTACCTTTTCACATCTGTTTTCTTATCTATAAAGTGGATATTATAAAACCTACCAGTGTGGTTTGGAAGATTAAGTGAAAAACATATACTTATTTGGTATCTGGCATGACATAGATGCTTATAAATATCCTCTCTATTATTTTTTTTAAAGATTTTATTTATTTATTTGACAGAGAGAGACACAGTGAGAGAGGGAACACAAACAGGGGGGAGTGGGAGAGGGAGAAGCAGGCTTCCCGCGGAGCAGGGAGCCCGATGCGGGGCTCGATCCCAGGACCCTGGGACCATGACCTGAGCCGACAGCAGACGCCCAACGACTGAGCCACCCAGGTACCCCATTATCCTCTCTATTATTAATTCTGAAGTCATTTATCAATTTGTTCTCCCTTCTGTTGCTCTGCATGTTTCACCCTCTTTCTTCACCACAATCTGATCATATAATTTGATCACAAAAGGATGACTGATAATTCACAACACTTTGAAGAGAGAAAATTCAATCACTTTCTAGTTCCTTTCTGAATTATAATCATGGGTCAGAAAGCTATAGCTCATGGGCCAAACTCAGCCTGCAGCCTGTTTTTAATATGCCCCATGAGCTAAGAATAGGTTACAAAGAAGGAAGAAGAGGACAAGGAGCAAAAGAAGGAGGAAGAAGAGAAAGAAAATGGGGAAGAGGAGAAGGAAAAGATTGTGTGATTATTTGTGGTCCATTACACCCAAAATATTTACACTCTGGCCCTTAAATGAAAACATTTGTCAACTTCTGGATTATATCCTGAAATCTTTGTGATTGGAGACCGCATCTTACTGCATGGAATTGAGAATTCACCAAAATTATAAGGAAATAATAAATAAAAACCTAGACTTGTAAATAACCATGTTTATTAACAATAAAGAAACCAAAGATTAAAAGTATAATAAATCTGTGATTATTTTTAGATATTAGTAAAAATAATTCTTAGTGGGGCGCCTGGGTGGCTCAGTTGGTTAAGCGACTGCCTTTGGCTCAGGTCATGATCCTGGAGTCCCGGGATCGAGTCCCGCATCGGGCTCCCTGCTCAGCGGGGAGTCTGCTTCTCCCTCTGACCCTCCTCCCTCTCATGCTCTCTGTCTCTCATTCGCTCTCTCAAATAAATAAATAAAATCTTTAAAAAATAATAATAATAATAATAATTCTTAGTTACCTAGAGTCTGAGTTAAAATTAAATTCATTTGAAATGTTGCTTAAATTACTGGAAAGCTTCCAATTTTGCAACCAAACAGGCTTGCTGCATCATACATTACTTGAATATTACAGTACTGGAAGTTAAAGATGCTTAATTAAAATGCTTGAACTGCAACATAAGTAGTTATTTATTGAACTGTTATTTCAGAGCTTTGGAGGAAATACAATTTATGTCTTAAGCAGGCAATAAAAATCCCAGTATAAAAGTCAGACTTCCAACTACCGCTTACTCCAGCAGAAATTTAACTTCCTTGCCAAACTGGATTTATTTTCATATATCCAAGCATATGGAAATGAGCATAAGACTTAGTCAAGGTACAAAAGAATCAGCCTGCAAGCAAGAAATTTAATAAAAACTAGAAATGTTACCTATAATATTAATAGTCTTCAGTCTTATGTGTCCTGATGTTCACTGTGTAGATACATGAGCCCCTTTTCTGGGAACTCACTCACCACACACAAGTGTAAGACCCCTTACAGCACTGTTTGTCCCATATGATCATATCAGCCCGACCTTCCAAATGGAGGCAATCAAATCTTTCTCCTAAAATTGGGTTTCATATTCATAGTCAATCTCCGTTAACTGCCTGAGCTCTTGTGGAACAAAAGGACAGTTACTTTTTAGCTATATTTATAGAGAAGCATGAAAAAAATCTTTAAACCAGGAAAAATTCAGATTCACAGAGCAAAGCCAGGACAGACTATGCTATTCTGTATCTACAAAGAGCTTGTGTCATTGCCTTGTCTCCTGATGGCTTTTCTATTTCTGTTTCCCATCCTTTGTGAGGCCCAGCAGACCTTCCTATTCCCCACTTGTGTGAAATACTATGAATCCATATGTAATACATATAAATTTGCTCTATGGCATTGCTCCCTAGTTTCTGATTCGTAGGCCTGAGAATTTGTATTTCTAAAGTGTTTACCACACTTTGAGAATTACTACTTTAATGTCATTATATATACAAAAGTCTTCGGTTGGAGTGATGAGATGGTGTGGTTATACAGTTCAGCAAATTAGGAAAAAGGAGATTATGGTCTTCAATCTAGACGATTCCCCTGTGGTATGAACTGTCCAATCATCCAAGCACCCCTTAATACAGTAGTGTTTCTACCTACTGTGTGATAACTCAGTACTTCAGAAACATTTTTTAAAGAAGATTTTATTTATTTATTTGACAGAGAGAGAGAAAGTGAGAGTGCACAAGCAGGGGAAGTGGCAGGCAGAGGGCGAGGGAAAGCAGGCTCCCTGCTGAGCAGAGAGCCCAATGTGGGGTTCAATCCCAGGACCCCGGGATCATGACAGGAGCCGAAGGCAGGTACTTAACCCACTGAGCCACCCAGGCAACCCAATTATTCAGAACTATTAATAAGTGTCTCAAGCTATGACTTCTAGTGTCACAATCTAGAGCCTTATGGAAGAACCATCACTTCCAAAAACTGTGAGTTTGGGGGGAACAAGATTACTCCCAACAGCCTTCCATCATCTGTGACACCCAGACTCAAGGACTCTAACATCTCTCCCAGAGTGAACCACTTCCACTGGAATCCTTCCCAGTCTAAAACAATCCATTTGTATTCACCTTGATGAGCCTAGGTTTTCAATAAATAAAGGTTTTCTGTTTGACATCATGTGAATATAAGAAGCTAAGTGGCTAGAGGAGGGAAAATTTCTGACTATAGAATGCAAGTAGTTGGCTTTGGGAAGGTACTGGAATAGAAATATAATAAATCTTGGGGTGCCTGGGTAGCTCAGTCAAGTGTCTGCCTTTGGCTCAGGTCATGATCCCAGAGTACCAGGATCGAGGCACACATCGGGCTCCCTGCTCAGCAGAGAGTCTGCTTCTTCCTCTGTCCCTTACCCCGCTCCTGTGCTGGCTATCTCTCTCTCTCTTTCTTTCTCAAATAAATAAAAATAAAATCTTTTAAAAAAAGAAATATAATAAATCTATACAGAGCACAAGATTCATAAAGTACAGGGCTATCTCCTATCTCCCAGTCTGGAAGAGAAAATCCACTCACAATTCCTTAAGGTCAGAACTTCAGGATATCAAATCACTTTGGCATCAAAACCAATTCCTGAAGATTTTTTATTCATTCCACAAGTGCGTGCTGGGCACACATACTTCAGTGGAAGATCCAGGCTTTATGGGGTTAATTTGAGGGGAAAGGAGCCTCTTTAAGAAAAAATTATAGAAAATTATACATACAAAATCCTCTATAAAAATATCAGAATGAAAATATAAATCACAACAAATTATAAGTTGTATTAAGTTGCAATACCAAAAATATAAAATCAGAAGATGGCATAACTAAATTAACTTTCAGCTTCATAATTTGTCATTAGTACTGACATAAAAAATTTTAGAATTGTCACATTTGGGAAAACCTTTATTAAGAAGAGGGCTGTTTTGACTGGGTGTTGATGAGAACACATCTCTCTACTTATATTTTACTCATCTGGT